ATTGCTTTTTCATGATTTTCTTTCAGTACTTTATTGTTTTCTTTCTGTACTTTATTGTTTTCTTCTAATTTGTTTGCCCTTTCCTCTAGTTGTTTACAGCATTCTTCCCATTTTTTTTGTCTTTTCCTCTACACAAGCCTCTACCTTCTTCATGATGTTACTCATAAGGCTATTTTCTTCTGCTTCTTCCAATTTTTTATGTTCTAGTTTAGATGTTGGAGGCGGGCTAGGTTCTGGTGATGCTGTATTGCTCTTCATTTTGTTGTATGTACTTATGCCTTGGCGTCTGCCCATCTCCTTTTGGTTCCTTCTTGGTCTTATTAGTATACTTGGCTCAGAAAGAGCTGACAGATCCAGGAACTCTCTCTCTATTGCCAGATGGGAGTTCTCTTGTCCAAATGGGAACTCCGGGGCAGGATGGGAGCTCTTATCTGGACCGGAAGTCTGGGGAAGGATGGGCGCTCTTGTCCAGAAGGGAAGTCCAGGTCAGGATGTGTGATCTTGTCCAGGAGGGAAGTCCAGGGCAAGATGGTAGCCCTCTCTCTCTGGTCCAGAAAGGAAGTCAGGGGCAGAATGGGAGCTGGGGGCCATTCTCTAAGTCTCAGGAATTGGCTGGGGTCTCGGGCAGATGAGTGTAGAGGCAGGGCATGGAGATTGCAGGGACTGCCGGGGGGCTTGGACAAGGGGATCCCTCCCAGTGGGGCTACAAGGGGACCTGCCCGGTGCCCAGAACCTGGGGCCAAGTTGGGCAGGTCTTCCTGGAGTGGCTGGTGCCCAGGGATTGGGTCCATGTTGGGCCGTGATACTCACCTCTGGTCCAGAAGGGAAGTCAGGGGCAGGATGGGAGGTGGGGGCCAGTCTCTAAGTCTCAGGAAGTGGCTGGGGTCTCAGGCAGATGGGCGTGGGGGCAGGGCATGGAGATTGCAGGGGCTGCCGGGGGTTGGGGGCTTGGAAAAGGGAATCCCTCCCGGTTGGGCTAGAAGGGTACCTGCCTGGTTGCCAGAACCTGGGGCCAAGTTGGGCAGGTCTTCCCAGAGTGGCTGGTGCCCAGGGATCTAAAATGTTTTAATAACTTAGAAATTTTTCTTTTTTGAGACATGTCAGCTTCTGGCAGTACCAATCTACTTCAGAGAAAATATGGGCATTGAAGAAACTGCATATGGAGTTAACTTTCATTGTGGCAAAAGTTAGCCATTGGACAACAAATTATCCTCGCATCAACAGGAAAAAATGGACAGACAGGACACAAAACAAAGGACTACTGATTGTTGCCAAAACAAGTGTGGTTATGGCTTTATCAAAAGGCATCTTCTGAGGCTAGGACAATATGGCACCATCCCTGAAGTGGCCTTCACAATCTACAAAAGGTACAGTGCCCTTTTATTCGAAGGCAGTGGGTCGATGGCTTCTGTTATGCAATGGAACAGCAGCTGAATGCTCACGCCTCTCAATAGTAGACTGGCATTTAATGGAAGGATGTGGAGAAGAAGGGAATGCTGAGATTAAGCCATATATACACAGCCAAGAAGAATGGACAGCTGAATTCAAAAACCATCAACAATTTCCAGAATTTAAAATCCTGAATCATGACATGACACTGGTGGAATTCAGGTGTTTCTGGTACATGGACTGCTCTCACCCAATGTGTGGTTGAACTGTTGGCCTTGTATACATCCTACTTCACAAATGAGTCTGCCAGATATGCTAAGCCTATAGGCTAAAGATGATGCCCCAACACTGGAGAAACCTCAGGTGACTGTCCAGGCAACTGGCTGTTTCTGTCAAGTCAAAAATTTTTGGAAGTTTCTTGCATGCGCTTCCTGTTTTTATTTTTGTTAGCTTATTTTATTTCCATCTTGGGTCTCTGAGGTAGTTGAAGTTTAGTTAGTTATAGCTGAAGGTTAGTTAGTTAAAGTTGAAGATTAATTAGGATGGAAAGTGAATTAGATACATTTTGGACTTACTCAAATAGGATAGATAAGGGAATTATTTTCTCTGATTTGTCAAATACAAATGGACTAGACATCATTTAGGTATTTGTTACTTGTATATATTGTATATAGTTATTGTACTTTTGTATATAGTTTTTCTTTTGTTAGTTATAACCATTTGCCTTTTTATTAAAATAGAAAAGGGGAAATATGGTGGTATTTTATTTGTACTGAAATGTGATTTTCATTTTATGTTAATAAATAAAGTTGCCCAGGGGTCAGAGCTATTAGAGCCATAGCAAGAGCGTGGTGGTTAGAAGAGCTAGGTAGATCTCTATGTGTTCAGGGATACAGCCAGCATTGGAGACATACGCATTTAAGACCTGGAGGGCGGTACTTACAGGCAGTGATGAGGCAGTCATGTGTTTGGGTTTACAACCAATGAGAAGGCAGAACAGAAAGACTATTTAAAGACAGACACACAGGAAGTAGTTCTCTTTCAGGGAAGCTAGGAGCACTGCAGGAGGTAAGATTTTAGCTCTGAGCTCTGACCTCTCGGCTTTCTCTTTTACATTGGTTCTGTGTTTCTTATTTTAATAAGACAGTTGTTTAAATCTACAGATATGGGCAAAGAAAGAAATGCATATAGACTTAAGTATTTTGTAGCAAAACTTAGCCACTGGGTAACAAAGTGACCTCACATTGACTGCTGACAGTGTTATGTCCAAAATGGACAAATAGTACACCAAACACAGGATGACCAATTCTTGCCATGACAAGTGAAGTTGCAGCTTTGTCAACAGATGTTCTCTGAGACAAGGACAATATGGTACCATTACCAAAGTGGCTTTGCAATCTAGAAAAGGTACAGTGCTTCTTTATTGCAAAACAACCAAACAAACATTGGCCTGATGGTTTCTGGTGTGCAGTGAAACAGTAACTGAAACAGTTATTCCTGAAGGAGTAACTAGGCTGATGGCATCCATCCTCTCAATGATAGACTGGCTTTGAAGAAAGGAGATGAAACCACCCATAAGCTAAGAATGATGGGATTCTGAGATGAAGCTACCAATTAGTTGAGAAGAATGCACAACCAAATTCCAACAACAACAACAATTTCCAGAATTTAAAATCCTGAATCATGACAGGACACTGGTAGAATTCAAGTTTATATGGCACATGGAACACTTACACCAAATATGGTGTTAAGCTGGAGGCCTTGCCTACACCCTACTTCACAAATTAGTCTGTCAGATACTATAAGCTTATAGGCTGAAGATGATGCCCTAACATGCATAGAAACCTCAGATGACTATAAGCACAGCTGAAAGTTTCTGTGAACTCTCAATTTTTTGGAAGTTGCTTGCTTACATTTCTTGTTTTACTAGATAATATTATTTCCTTCTTTGGTCTCTGAGGGAGTTAAACAATAGATAGGTGTAGTTACAAATTTCCTACTTAAGAAATTTAGAAAAGAAACTCACTAAGATGTGTTAAGTGTATAAGTCGGAAAGGCATCATAAGATAGTTTTCTGTTGGTAATATAGGTTAGAGTAAAAAGTGAATTAGATACCTTTTGGACATACCAAAATAGAATAGATAAATGAATATTTTTCTGAATTTGTCCAGTGTAAATGGACTACACATTGTTGATGTATTTATTGCTTGTATGTATTGTATGTAGTTATTGTACTTATAGTATATAGTTTTTTTATATTAATTATAAATTTTTAATTTTGAAAATTTTTATTAGACAAAAAAAAGGCAAAGTGTGGGGATATTTTTTCTGCTGAAATGTGGTGATATTTTATTTGTGCTTTTAGAAATGAAGTTTTCCTGGAAATCAGGATGAAAGACCAGAAATTTAAGTAAACAAAGTCAGGCAGCACAATGTCCTTAATCTGATCAATTAGCAGGCAGAGTCTCTGAGTTTTCAAAGACATACTAGGGAACAGAGTCAAGAGTGTTGACACATGCCTTTAATCCGATTACCAACTATGGACATCTGGAGGTATGTACAGACAGACAGTGACAAGGCAGTGAGGTAGTTGGTATAAGAGCCAATAAGAAGGCAGAAAAGTAAGGCATAAAGAGGCATGGGTAGGCAGGAAGTAGATTGCATTTGGAAACCACAGAGTTGGTGAGGTAAGGTTGGCTGTAGGCGTTTCCTATTTCCCTGATCTCTCTTAGGTTTTACCTCTACATTAGGTTCCTTGTTTTTAATTAATAAGACCCTTTAGAAATTTGTCTACAAGACCATATTGTACAAACTATTCTAATCTTGTTCAAGGCTTTGTACCTATGCAAATCCTTTAAAATGTAATGCAAATTGCTAGTCCCTGAAATTTATTATTACCATGTAATTAGCATATAAAGAAATGAAAGTTAGTTGTTAGTCACCTGTTACATTT